TTTTACCATTCCTGCTTTCCCATAGAAACCTCTATGAGTAAGCCAGAATGGTGAAACATTTAGAGGTTGAGCACACGTGGGGAGGAACAAACAATATGTATTTGCTCCATTGGTAAAGATTTATATCTTCAGTGAAGATTTTTGGATATCTGGATTGACATTAATGAGGAGGATCCATTTCTGGGTGAAACGTATCAATGAGGTTATGTCTGGATTCACATTGATCAGGAGGTTCCATTTCTGGGTGAAACGCATCAATGAGGAGGTCCCAGGTGGAACATCGTGTGTCGTACGGTATATGAGTGGTAAAATAAAGCTTTTACTACACTGAAGACTTCTTCTATTATCCCTTTTTTTTTTAAACTTTGCATTGGAGCTGGAAAAAGCTCCTGTCCATTACTCGATAGCCAAGTAGGGGATCCAATTAAGGGCATGCAAGCTGCGTTTTATTCTCGATGGATCAGCAAGGAACCCCTATATCACTGCCAAATGTAAGACACCAGCAAGAGTGACATCTCGCTCATCCAACTGACTAAGAAGATACACATGTTTCTTTGCCTGCATGTGTCCTCCAGTGGCAGGCTCCCAAGCATGACATAGGCCAAAGAATGATGGCACTGGAGCATGCATCTTCAAAAACAAGTTGACAACCACTTTTTTGTTCCCTTTAAAGCGTATATAAAACCGTTTTTTTTTAATTTGCTCTCTTTTGTTCTGCTTAATATACCTTTCATAGCATTTTGTTGATCCTGCCACAATTCTTCTCACCTGTGCCCTCCGCCTGTACTGTTCTGAGGACTACAGGGTCTAGGACATCTATATATGTAAAAAATAAGTCAAGGCAACTGGACGCAGTATTTTTCTTGAAAATTACAGCAAGTCCAGCTGGCTTGATTTATTTTTAACATAGATACTATGACCTGGATGAATGAGAACCTTCACAGACATACTAGGACATATATGTTATGTACAAGAGGACAGAGGGAGTTCCCAGTAGTTCTGTTTGGTGACTATTGTCCTGATGCAGTACAGTGCGTGTTGTCACCCTAGGCCAGGAAGTGTGCTACAGCAAGAATCACCAGGTGAAAATAAAAGAAGAAAAGCCTGAAAATAGAAAACAAATGCAGCCACCACAGCTAAAGTTGCAATATATTAGAGTTTTGTTTTTGGGTTTACGCCTTGCCTTGGTGTAAGAGAAACGGATTTAGGTGTAACCATATCTGGAAGGTCCATGGTTTATACATGTTTGGTCATAATCACATGTCTCAGACGATGGCGATGTAGACGATTTATATTGTGTATTCTCTCCATTTACTGAATGTAATAAACACACTGACATAATTTCTTTGTAGTGACTATCCAAGTGCGCCAGCCATTGACACCGATACCTTTCCAGCTACTAATCACCAAATAACTGTGGTGGAATGGCTGTAAATATGTTAACATGATACTCTGACAGCTGCACGCCATCTCTTTACTACGAAGAGGTGTTCATTTCTCCACTGGAACAAACAGCTCAACAGAAGCGAGTGCTGGAAGTGCCAAGGTCAGAGGAGGATAGTATTACCCGGCCTTTCATTTACACAAGAATAGCTGCTACCGTACCACTAGTCATTAGCTGTGTACAAGGAGTTCATGATCAGACTCGATGGGTGTGTTGTCAGGACAATGAGATGCAAATCTCAGGGTCTTGTATGCCAGGATGTATATATATACACTGAGTGGCCAGATTATTATGACCACCTGACATTTGTAGGCAAATTAGCTATAATTAGCTATAATTTTGCGCTGAAGTTGCTAGAGGGCCAGACCATTATAAATAGGGAAGCAGGTTGTTTACCACGACAGTAGAAGTGATTTTTTTTTTCTGAAGATACGGGTAAACAGCGCGATTTAATAGCCGTTGAACGTGCGATGATTGTTGGCGCTCGGAGCCATGGAGCGAGTATCAGCAAAACAGCAGAATTAGTTAAATGTTCAAGAGGGGCTCATTGTTAAAGTGTTTAAAGACTGGACTGCCAGCCGAAAATCTGGGTCTGAACGTGCGAATTGTGGCCGTCAGCGACTAGTCAATGTTAGGGCAGAACGGAGAGTGGCAAGACCGGTACAAGACAACAGAAGGGCAACAGTGCAGTGTCAGATTCCTCGCATCACCTTTCAACATCTCGTGGAGTCACGGGGCGGCCCAACGAAGTCATCTCGTGGAGTCATCTCGTGGCCCAACGAAGTACTGATGGGGTGGTCATAATAATCTGGCCAGTCAGTGTATATACTGTATATAT